GAAGTACTCCCTGCGCGTGCTCCCACCGCTGCCGCCACCGTGCAACAGCTCTTCAACCCGCGGGATCGGGTGGAGACCATTGGCGACAATGCCTGGCACCTTCGAGTGGAGGTTGTGCCGGAGGACCAGGAGGACCTGGAGCAGCAGGGCGTGCTGCACGTGCACTGCCTCCAGGTCGCAGAGGAGCCAAACAACGTGCGTCACTTAATCGCTGTGCCGCCTGCAGGGCTGCCATTGTGTGGTACCAAGTTGGATGCGGATGCTTGCAACACCCTGCCTCGCACTAACCCGCCATGCATTATTCCCTGGGACCCTCCCTTGCAGCAGCGCCCCTTTGCCTTCTCCGACCCTTTTATCATGCGCCTGGGCCCAGAGGAGACGGTGGGGGAGCTGAGGCAACGCGTGCAAGAGAAGCTGGGGGTGCCAGACGAGGAGTTTGCGCCCAGCTGGAAGCCGGTGCTGTGCACGTGAGTGCGCGCTGCCGACAACAGTCAGTGAGGCGGCCTTGTTCCTGTTATGTTGCTGATGCTGTGCCTGCCGCTGGCCAGGCGTGGTTTTGATTGAAGGCTGATGGCGAGAGTCTGTTTCTGACTGCAGGTTTGGTGGTGCCGAGTTGCTGGCTGATGATGTCGTGGTTGCCAGCAGGCTGGACAGCCAGAAGCTGTACGGCCACCAAGAGCGCAACTGCATCGGGTTTGTGCGGGAGAACAAGAACCCACGCCGCACGCACGCACACCTCAACAGCAGGCTGGCGGCCTGGCAAGGCCAGGAAAAGCAGTTGCGCATCAGGAGCTGATGTCACCAGTACATGCTCGCCCTGGTGCCAGCGTTGTAATCTGCATCTCTCCTAGAAGCCAGCTGGTGAATGAGTGGTGATTGATTGCTGCGGTTCTGGCTCAAGGTGGCTTGGGGTGTCCAAAAACAAAAACAGGAAAGAATAAGGTAGATAGCATTGGCAATATATGTTACACATTATGTTTGGAACCGCTCAAGACCAACTGTGCACATCAAGCCACACCCTGTGCGTGTTCCTCCCCAGTTAGCATGGGTGCGCTGTATTCGTTGCTGCTTCATTCATTAAATCATGAATTCGGTAAGTGGTACAACTCATGGTGGAACCTCCCCGGCCTTCAACCGCAGACCATATGCGATGAGGTTGCCAAAGACGACATCTGCCAGCGCTGAGAACTGCCGGCCCGGAGCGGTGCCGTAGAAAAATTTGGGCCTCTCCTGCAGGACACAACTGCGAGGTGGCTTGGGGACCGAGTGGATGCAGGGCGCAACCAGACCAGGGCAGTGCCTCTGAGCTTCGAAAAAGTGCAGCACAACACACAATTACCCGCTGTAGCGCCGCTTGGTGGCGCTCCAAAGCATCCTTGGGCATTGTCCTGCAACCCAACAGCCAGACCCCTCTTCATAAAATCCCTCCC